TTGGGAATGATCATAATTTTTGGTGTGTCTATCAGGGGAGCTTTCTTTTGCATAGTCATATCTGTTAGGGTCACTACAGATTTAGTGCTTTTAGCAGCTTTGGCATATGATATATTTTGTTCGGGCTGCATGCTTGGCATTATTTTTCTAGCTTCTGGATAAGAAATCTTTTGCATTATCTTGATGACCTGAGCTTGCTTCTCAGCTTTCCACTTTGGGCAGGATGTAGAAAATGCAGTGTGGTTTCCCTTGCAGTTTACACACAATGGCTCAGCAATGCAGTTTTCACTGTCATGGTGGCCCTCTACAGAGCATCGAACACATGTAAGGTTACCACGACAGGATACTTTCGAACGGCCAAAACGTTGACACTGTTAACACCGCACTGGGTTTGGAATATAAGGTCTTACAGTACACCAGCCTTTATATTCTTTGGCAAACCAGGCGTGTTGAAGGTCAGGATGACGTGCTTTGTATCAATCAGCTAACCTTCTTTATGCATCTTGATTTGCTTTGCAGTGCACACATTCTGATGCGAGAGTTCAGAGATGAATTTCTCATCCGAGACAGAAAGAAGATCAGTCTCTGAAATTATTCCTCAGCAATAATTTAGTGTCTTAGGCACAGAGGCAGAGACTTCCACATTCCCAAGTTTGGTTAAGCCAAGAAGAGCTGTAGATTGGCTGGAAGAAAGTTTCAATTAAAAGGTGTCCAGAACAGTCGTCTTATGTTTTTTGGTTCTCCTGCACATGCCTGTATATATTTTTGAATCAGAAATGGTGACATATTTTTAAGCTGCCCGGTAGAGTTGTTTATGACTATAAAACGAGTTTGACTATTGGGTAAACTAACATTGGCATTTTCACTCTTTTGTATGCATAATTATGTTCAGTTGAAGAGTTTAAATTTGGCTGAGCCATATTTGAAAGAGAAAAGATTCAGGTCCAACCGTCCGTCCCACCATGGAGCCCAACAACGGAATACAGAAACCTGTGTTAGGGCTAGCCAGACCTACACGCAAACTGAACCCCCACAGTCGGCTTTCCCGAAAGCAGGTACTACCGAGAACTTATCCCCAAGCCACTGACAAAAGGAATAGCGACCAGCCGTTTGACACCTGTGAGGACGACAAAGTGCCATCCATTTAGCTGAAGCAGAGGCCAAAGCAGTGTGTTCAGGACAGTACCTCACTCCTCAACTACCAGGACCCTCCTTTCCAGTGACACGGATCTCCACACATGGCAAACACGTGGGCAGTTTTCTCGTCACTCGAAGCTAAATACAAGAGCTGTAATAGCCTCTGATGACAAGCTCCAACCTCCTAAGAGGAAAACTACAAGGGAGAAGACAAGGAAAAGGTTCCAGGTCACAGGAGAGGTGACGGAAGAGAGGATAATTACTGCGGCTCCAGGATCGTGACACCCATCTCACCAAGAAGATGATCCCCTGGAGGGCTAGGGTACCTCGGGATTGCCAGACCCGTACTCACAAAAGTGAGCCCCTGAGGGTTATTTGCCTTCCAAATTTAATCAACAGACTTCATGATTTAAAAGCAATGTGTTGCCTTTGTCTGATATAAAATATTACAAATTTTTTTTTTCAAATTTAATCTATCTGTTACTGATTAATAAATTGATTTAAACTATAAATGCACTTATTCAGCTCTATTATTACTAGCTGGACTCTGAAATTACACTAATCGAACTCATCAGGATCATTTTATAATAGCTATTTTAGGTGGCTGGCCACACAGACAGCTAGTAAGCATTAAAAAATAATGATCCATATTCATGTTATTACTCCAAAAAATTGCTTTTCTAATCAAAACATTTGTTACATCATTATGCTACCTAGATGGTATAGTGGTCAGTAATGATGACTGGGAAACCGAAAGGGTTTAGGTTCAAATCCTGGAGTAGGCATGGATATTTGTAAACATATAATATATGTGTGACAAGGAGACAATCAATATACACAGAGAGCCAAAATCCTCTTGAAAGGTTGGTGGTAGGCGAAGAGATGTGGGAGATCTTGAACTACATCCTGAGCTGCTTTCCCTTGGAATTTCATCCAGGATGGAATTTTAGTAGTTAGCAGAGCCTGACGATACCTAATATGCTTACTCGGATGCATAGATGACAGCCTTGCTTCAACTTGTACCTAATACATCATTATATAGCTTTTTCCCCCTCTGGGCATAAAAGCTTATTACCTGATCACAACATGATGATATTACATAATCTGAGGAAATAATTTGTCACAGCCTACCCTTTACATCTTTATATGCATTTTAACAAACAGGAAAGTGTAAAATGAACACCAAATAGCATAATATAATTATACATTCTTTATTACTGCACATATTAAAATTCTCTGCCTTATTTCCCCTTTTGTTTCAAACTCTTTGGAACTTTAAACTTTTTTATAAATATATATTTTAAATGATTATTTGATGATTATTTATAACAAATCATATGCAAGTTTGATTGTATGGAGGATTTTTTTAGAAATTTTTTAGATATGCATAGATGATAAGCAGTAGAAAAAAATTAATAGTTAGATTTAAAAATCTGAACTATTTTAGCCTAGCAGATGATTTTTTATTGGCCAACTACAAGTAGTTTAGCATAGAATAAATTTTAGGCAGAAAGGAAAATGGAGTGTTGTGAAAATATTACTGTGCTATGATTTTCTATGATTTTAAAGTGGGATTCAATCAAGAAGAATGCATTCAGCATCTATAACTAATATTCAGAAATGAAGGTCCATCTTGTGCTTTATTCAGATGGTTTACAGAATTTCAAAGAGGTCACAACTTTCTTCAGGATGAAGAACATACAGGAAAGCCGTTGTCAGCAGTAATTCCAGATAATGTGTCAGCCGTACGGAAAATGTTAATCGATAAAAACAGCTACACCTACCAAATGATACAGAAGGAACTTAACATTGGATGTGCCGCCATACATAAAATTATTCATTAAAAATTGTACATGAAAAAACTTGTTTGCCATTGAGTTCCCCATAATTTAATTGAGCACCAAAAAATCATCAGAATCAGTACAGAAACCCTTGAATTACTTAAAGATGAAGGCCACAGCATTATTTCTATTGTTGTAACTGGTCTATTATTGTAACTGGTGATGAAATGTACATACCATTTTTTAACGTTCCAACCTGTCAAGAAAGTAAAGTATGCTTCTCTGAAGATGATACCATACCCACAATGGGGGAAAAACCATGTGCCATGAAAAAAGTAATATATGCCGTTTTCTTCAGGACTAGTCAAAGCCATTAAGTTGGAAGAACAGAAGACAGTTACAGCTAACGTGTGACTTACGGCTATGTTTTAATATAAAAAAGAACTTAAATGAATGTCGTTTTCATTCCAAAGACAAGATTAATGAGGCTATAAATGCATTTTTTTCATCTATCCCAAGAAACAAATGACTTGAGGCATTTAAAATCTTTGGAAAACTCACCTACAGAAGTGTATTGATGCTGGAGGAGATTACTTTGAACACTCCTTAAATTTCGTAAGTATAACTTTAAAAACCTCCTAAAAAACGTGTATCTCAAAGAAATTTCACAGTGACCCTCATATAAATATTCTGTTTATATCTGCTTTGGAAGAACGTGCCAATTTTTTCATTTTTTTATCAGTATATTAAAACTTGTGTATGTGTATATTTTAATTATGGCAAAGCACAGGAGGTCTATCTGCCTAAGGGGAGTGATGCCTTTGTGGACTTTCTAAGGGAAACTGGCTCGTATACACGTTACACATGGGGAAAACCACAAAAACGCCCATGCAGCCAGCCCATTCGCGGGATTCGAACCTCGGACCGAACTACCAGTGTTCAGCGACTTTACCACTTGGCCGCTGGTGGGCACATATATTAAAACATGGGATAAAAGAGGAAGTAAAAGTATCTCCTACTACTTATAGCAAGAAGAATATGAATTTTTAAGGCTTCAATTGCATATATTTCTAAATATAATCTGAATTTCTGAACTATCCACGTATAAGCAGAGAGTGAAGATTTTGTACCAAAATTCAGCTAAAATTGAAAATTTGTGTGTAAAATAAATTTAAAATTACCTTATAAATTCAGCTATGGATCTAAATGCAAGAAAAAAAAATTACTTGATATAAATTTTATTTTAGCAGAAGCAAACTTTCAATGATTGAGTATTGTCGCCTTTTTCAAATGCATTTGCATTTGAAAAAGTTGCAAAGTATCATCAAAAGTTTAGCAGATCAGCTGAAGTTGAGTGACTTATCCATTCAAAAAGTCATTAGAAACAACTGTTAAAAAAATGTTGCCTTAGTAATGCTGTGAATGGAAGTGAAGATGATGATATCAACCAGGGGATGATGCTATTACGGAGAAAGACTTCCAAGAATAGCTGGAAAATTTTGAGTTGAATAGGGATACTTAGAAGTTTTTTAATACACACTAGGATTAAATAATAATATATACAATATTTTTTCAAGTAATTTCAATATTTTTGATAGAATTATTTGTAAAACCATACTGAGCTAATGTATACGCCAACCTCAAAACTTCAGTAGCAAATAATTTGCTTAAATTTTTTGGTTTACAAATGAAAATAAATATATGTACTCTTAATAATCAGTTAGACACACATTGCCAAAGAATATTTTCAAATATCTTTATAAAAGTCTTTGATATTGTAAACATAGCGTTCTGCTAAAGGGGCGTGAGTAGAATTCCAAAATTATTGCAATCACTAAATTATCTGTAAAATTTGGTTACATCAGTTACTTCAAGTATAGTAAAAAAAAAGTATATACACTAAATTATGCAGTTTGAAAGGAAACATAGCCTCTGTACATAAAATTTAACAGTCCACTCTCAGCACTGCAAGAGGCTAGAATAACTGCAAACATAATTATCTGGGCTAGCAAAAAAAGCGCCTTGAATTTCTGAACATCTGAAAAATGCTCATGTTAAAACAATGTAAACAAGCAATAATACCTGAGGTTTAACACAATACTGCCCTCGTGTTGCACTATGCAAATCTAAGGAATACTCAAGCTCTCTTGTTATGCTTTCGATTGGATCAGCTGGACTTGGATGTTCGATGCTAGAATTTGTTTTAACATTCTAAAATAAAAATATATAGGTAGACTTTAAATATCAACTCATATAAAAAGAGTATTTCTTCATAGCACATAAGAAATTTATTATTACATAAAAGACATTTACACAAGCAAATAAGACTAATTAATTCATAAATTAAGTTAAACAGAATATTTAAAAACATAATCAAAAATAAATCTAAATTGATTGTGTACTCTCAATAACTTAATATTTTTAACTCTCTATATACAAATATATTATAAAAACATAAAAAATTTTAAAACTAATTAATAAAAGTTTCAATTGCTTGTACTTAAACATAACATATATTTTGTTATATATAAAATGAAAATATGACCTTAATTCTAAAATTATAATGGAAATATGAATGCAATTAAACAAATCATGTTTATCATTAAGGAATGTGATATCATTTCTGAATTAGTTACAGAAAACAGAAAGGCACACATAAAGATTTGCTTACACAGAACAATATACAAGAAGCTAGCACACAAAGAAGGATACGCATGCAAAGAAATTTAAGTAATATTTCAATTTAGCATGCTAATAAACACTTTCATTCTGTTAGAATACATATGTCTGAACACACTGTTTAAAACAAAGCAGATCAAGCAAAGTCTAAAATAAAATTTAAAAATACATAAATTTAAATATAAACACAAAATAAACAATACAAATAAGTACAATAAATATGCAATGATAAAGTTAAAAATGTTCCTCAAATAATAGAAAAAAATATTTGTTTTCATTACAATTTTAAAGATTTCACACAAATTTAAAACTGCTGTATATGAAATCAATAAAATATACTATTAAATAATAAATGTAACTAAATCATATTGTAGCATTAAAAAAGTAAAAAAAAAATATCTCTCTCAAATTTATCATCAAATTTATTAAATACACATAAAATAGCTTGGAAGTATCGATTTTACAAAATGAGTTAATCATAAATCGAAGGTTATTTTTTCTTAACACAATATTGAAAATTCTTAAGCCTAATATGCTGTTTTGCAGTACAGTTTTGAATTTAAAAAATGCTCAGTAATTAACAGCCAACAATCCTTTTTCAATAATTACCCTTTTTTTTCAAAAATTTCAGGTATTTTCTGACTATCCACATCCTTTTCCCAAATAGTCACTAACGAATTGCTGATTGATTTCCATAAAGCTAACATGCAAACGGCAGCAGTTGTTTTCAGATTGGGAAAACACAAAAAATTCCATACAAGAGTAATCAGTCAATAAAATTAGAAAAACAAGAAACAGCTATAATAAAACTCTTACCTTTTTCAAGAAATCCTTACATAATTTTTTTTTTAAGTGTTTTCCCCATTTACACAGTGATCTACTTTTGCTTAAAAAAATCAAAAATTCAACAAATACGTCTTTGCGCATGCTATTATTTTTCCCATGTACCAGACTTGTTTTCATTGAAAAAAAAAAAAAAAAAAAAAATTACACAACAGCAAAAATTTAGTATCCCCTATTCTAATATTGCATTTCTATAAAATTCAATCAAAAAAAATTTCATGGAATGCACATTTCCTCTGGGAAAAAATATTTTTGAAGAAGAAAAATTTTATTCAAGCCAAAAACATTTTAATTTTACAAATATATATATATACAAGGGTAAGTTGAAAAATAAGTTTCCCCTGTCGACTGTGGTCAGAGTTGTGTATGAAAGTCAAAAAATAGAATGAGACATTAAAGATATGACATACCTTTATTTTTCCACATAGGTACCAAGTACATTGAGACATTTGTCATATCGCTTGATAAGCTTCAAAAAGCCCTCCAGGAAAAATCAGGGCTTTGCATATGGAAGAAGCGTTGAACGGCTATGGGCGAAAGGCGACACAGCAGGAAAACGCGCAAGTCACCGATACACCATTGGGTAGAGGTCGCTGCAAATCAAGCAGATGGCGCTGTTGCAGTGCCTGCGCAAAGCGGAGACCAGCCTCTCATTTGAGCCCCGGTAGGTATGGAGAGAAGGTGCGTTTTGAATTCGTGGTCAAAGGAGGAAGTGAGAGCGGTTATCCGCTATGAATGGGCACGTGGAGTATCAGGAACAGAAATTCATAACCGCCTCGTGGAAGTCTATGGGCCAGGTGTGATGTCGAAGCAAATGGTGCGGAGGATGGATGGTGTCGCACATTCAGTGATGGACGTCAGCAAGTGGAGGACATACCGAGAGCTGGACGGACGCGCACGGCCACTACAGATGCAAATGTCAGGAAGGTGGATGACATGATTAGAGCGAACCGGCGTATCACCATCGATGAAGTAGCGGAAGAACTTGGAATCTCACATGAGCGAGCTCAAAACATCATCCACGACATTCTTCGATACAGAAAAGTGTCAGCACGATGGGTGCCCCGACAATTGACCTCGACACACAAGGAACAACGCATGGGGGTCAGCCTGGAACATCTCGTGCGTTACCATGAAGATGGCAATGACTTTCTGTTTCGGATTGTGACGGGGGATGAAACGTGGGTCCACCATTTCACGCCAGAATCGAAGGCCGCATCTATGGAGTGGAAACATCCGTCATCACCTGTCCGAAAGAAGTTCAAGACAACTCCCTCTGCAGGTAAAGTGCTCCTCACAGTTTTCTGGGACGCCCAAGGAGTTTTGTTGCTGGACTTTTTGGAGGTTGGAACCATCAATGCTACGCGCTACTGTGACACCCTGTCGAAATTGAAAGAGGCGATTCGGAAAAAGCGGCCTGGCCTTCTCACATCTGGCGTTCTGCTGTTGGATGACAATGCCAGACCACATTCGGCGACGGCGGCAACGCAAAACCATATTGCAACTCTTGGTTGGGAGCGCCTATCCGCCATACAGTCCTGATCTCGCACCAAGCGACTTCCATCTGTTTCCGGCTTTGAAGAAAAATCTCGGGGGAAGGCGCTTTGGAAGCAATACTGAAGTGAAACAAGCCGTTCAACGCTTCTTCCATATGCAAAGCCCTGATTTTTTCCTGGAGGGCTTTTTGAAGCTTATCAAGCGATATGACAAATGTCTCAAGGTACTTGGTACCTATGTGGAAAAATAAAGGTATGTCATATCTTGAATGTCTCATTTATTTTTTGACTTTCATACACAACTCTGACCACAGTCGACAGGGGAAACTTATTTTTCAACTTACCAACGTATATACATACTCAGTGTAAAAATAAACAATACATTTGGGCGATGTCATGGGTTGCTGCTCAACTATTTTGCCGACATAGTGCACTTTCTCATGAATACTTTTTGTGCAGATGCAGAAAATCATAAAGATACAAACCTTTTTATAAATTCCAGCATAAATGGCGATGTATTATTACAAATTATGCAATATATTTAATAAAAATATATATAAACAAAAATTAAATTCTCCTTACGTTAAAAAAATGAAACTTTCATCCTTTCATGCATCATAGAATCTTTTGCCATTCATGTTTTAATTTTCGAAATAAACAACAGGCAAAAGTTATTAAATTTTCATAAATTATGGACACAGAAATGTATTAGATCTAAAATCTTATACACAAATCATCAGAAAATTTGCAAATATCATGTGAAGGAAAATTACAGATGAAAAAATTACATCTTCAAAAGTTAGTTTCATATTAATAGGGTTATGAAAAGATCTCACAATTAAGAATGAGAGATGCAAAATATAAAAGCAGAAGATCTGGGGAAAAAAAAAAAAAAAAAAAAAAAAAAAAAAAAAACTTACATGAAGAAAGCACTTTATAACCAAATTACAAGAAACTGCAAGAATTGGGAGGCTAATATTTATATCCCTTTACAAATTTGAAATATCTATTGATAACACATCACAAATTAAAATTCATAAATTACACAGCATATAAATGCTTTACAGTGTACTTAGTATTTTCCTGCAATGTAAAACTATCTTTCACCGCATACTTTACAAAAAGGTAAAATATACTTTTTTGTTAATGCGGCACCAGTTTCCAAATGTGCACTAAAACTCCAAATATGGTAGTCTGTTTATATAGCGTCATTAATATCTATATAATATCACTATAAATAAGCAAAAAGAATGAATATCAAAGCAGGAATTTTATCTCCTAGATTTTCAGTTGTTTAAATGGATGAACTGTCAACTTCCAGATATGAACACCTGCAAGTATACTACAAATGCAATTGTAATATAATGTAGCCTACGCAAACTGAAATTAATCAGATAAGATCTATTTGTATTTTTACATTTATTCTGGACTTAATAAAATAATCATTTTTTTTTTTTTTTCCCCCATGAAGCTTTATATATTAAGATTTTAGCCATCTGGTTAAATTTCATACCAACATTTACGGTTAGCCCTAAAAACATGGAGCCCTAAAAAAAATACTACATAAAATAATAAAAGTTTTATCTACATTTCCTTTCCATTCTATCAACTACTAATATCATTATTTAGAATTATTATTTAAAAGAAATATTATGCATAGCACAACATTTATATTTCAGAAAAGCAAAAAGTATCTTTTTTACCTACTACTTTAGTTACTGATAGCAACATTGCTTACTTTATGATTACTATCTCTTCATTCTATCATCATCAAAGACTTAAAATGCACAGCAATACTGTTTCTCATGTTTGTCAGAATACTCCAAAAGCCCTTTCCAGTTTAGGAGAGGGGACAAATAAAAGCAATTACCTTTCTTCAGAGAATAATATATATATAAATCCAACTGAAACCAGAAATTCCTAAATGAGACTTAAAATGAACATGCACTGGAAATAACAATGGGTAAGAATTCTAACTATAAAAATACAAATATATTGGAGGCGAAGAGCTTTTGTCAGATTGCATTCTCATGAAAAACAATTTACATTACTGTAAAATATTTTATTTTAAATTGTTACTCTTCTTTTCATTGAATTTTACATGTATATATTTACACATTAAATTACAGCACACCTAGGCTTTGATATTTTAAATGCAGGCAAACTAACTTTCTTCACAGTTCAAGAACCAGCTTTTCAACTTTGCACATAATTTAACTATTTTTCCAACCTTTGTTTTAAGAATTTTGTTCATTGACATTTAACTATTTTCCTTCCTTTTACAAAAAGATGCTAAAAACATATGAGGAAAGACGTTGCTGTCACAAACATCAATTGAAAGATACTACTCTTAATTTAAGAAAATGGTACAGAACTTACGGAAGAAACTGACTGACTGTTTTTATTTCGCTTCTTTCTTCGAGGTGGTGCCACAGGATGTTGAACTTGTTCATTTTTTGTGCTAGCAACAACATCTGGCTCTGAACACTGAGATTTTGGAGGAACAAATTCTTTTAAGCTTTCCACTTCACTAATAGAATATTTAGAATCCACTGAAACAGCATCGATATCTTTAGCACCGCTCTGAATGTCTCTACCACCAAGAATGCTGCCAATTTTCCCTAAACTAATGATACTACATGTTTCATTCGAATTCTGTTCAGAATGTTTTAATAAACACTGTGGATTGCCTTTGGGATATACACCTTCCACAGAAGATGAGGCAATGCTGCTTTCTTCTGAGTGATTTTGTAACACTTCATCATCATCATTCAAAACCATTTTCCTCAGTTCTTCAACTTTTTTACGTCTTAGTTCACTATCTTTTGCCTTCCTTGCAGCTTCCTAATAAGAAACCAAAAAGTCGTATCATAATTTTAAGAATGGTTTAAATATTAAAATATACATAAATTAAAATTCCAAAATTGTTTTACTTTAATATTTAAGTGGTTACTTATTTTTGATATTCAAACAGCTCAGACTAAGGCATATCACTATGGGCTGCAGAGAAAAATTTTTAAGCCTATGCTGTTAAATTTTAGATTTCTTAATTACTGAGATTAAAAATTCCACCTAAAATGTATTAGAAAATTCACATACTAAAAAATTTATGAAAATGTGCTATTGTGCACTAATTTCAGTATTTCCGTGAAGATACTATAGCAGGAATTAAAACCCATTAATACTGTCACCAAAATTTCTTCACTTGAGAAACAACCATATTCCCAAAAATTAAGATCAAAATTTACAGGTATGCGTTATATACCGGACCTAAAAATTACAGATTTAAAAATATGGACAAGACAAGCATACAAAAATTAGATTTTTTACATTTACCTAAATGCTGTTTCTTTAAAAGAAATGACATACTTAATGAACTTAATTTTCATTATCAGATAACATGAAAATTTTGTCATATTTTTCTTCCATTATATATTCAGGCATATGATCGAATTCTATATCATCTTCAGCATCTCGCGGTTCTGATCCATAAATAAATGATAATCTTCCGTTCAGTCTAGCTTGTTAGATATACAGTCAAATACTGAAAATCCGCCGACCTGAAATCCGCATTGCCTCTCAAAATATAAACATTCAGTTTATAGGTTCCGGAAATTGCAACATTGAGTGCGGAATATCAAAGAAAAAATACTTTCCGAATAATAACATCATAATTACCGAATAACAAAGAGTCATAACGGAAATACCAAATTATTGATATCATGATAAAAGCTTTTTCCCCTCTAATCTGCATTGAGGTAGAAAAGCAGATGATTCACTCAACTCTTCTTTCAAATTCACGATTCCCCTTGTTGTATTTTCTGAGCTTTGTTATTTCACGAGATTATTTAGTGCTGCCTTTTTTTTATCCGGATAGTTTGTGGATAAATTAAGAATATTTTAAATTTCAGCCCTTTTTCATACAATGACAGATAAGAAACATACTCATGATTTTACCGCTTGCAACGTTGAAAAACGTAAACATGTTGCATTGACGGTAATGCAAAAAGTGCAAATTCTGCAAAAGATGGAGGCAGGTTCCACTCCTCGGTTTATAGCAGAATTGTATGGAATTACGACACGATTGTGTATGATATATGGAAAAATAAAAAAAAGCTGTTGAAATTTTATAGCAACAGTGATTCTAACACTGGACTTGGCAAACCTGGATGCTGTGTACATATAATACAATGAATAATATAATCAATTTATATATGTAATAATAAATTAATGCATATAATAAATATAATAATTTAATTAAATGTATCAAATATGCCTTATTTATTTTGCACTTTGAGTCTGAATATTATGATTATCTTTTCTGTCCTGAAATTTGCAAAATCCTAAAATCCGCACAACCTCTGGTCCCAAGCTTTGCGGATTTCTGAACTTTTATACTGTACTACATTTTTAAAAGGCTTTTGACTTATGATAGTTTTAATTTCATTTCATGCTTTTATTATCAACTCACACACTATTTCTAGACTAGCATAGTTGGTGAAAGACGCGTTTGATGAAAGGGTGCACGTTATACAGTGAAATATACTTAAAAATTAAAGAATGTAGTTTGAAATTATAGGTGCGCGTCATGCACTGGAATATAGAGTAATTTTTTTAACTTACTTACATTACCATATATCGATATTTTATTTACACATACAAGTGTTATATTACTAATTCAAGTATTTTCATTTTCTATATAATTTAACTAGCCTGACTTGTAAATATTTTGCAACAACCTTTTTTGGTAACATCTATAAAGATGGATTTTTGTGCGCCTGCTATGAGATCGCTTTCCCACCTGTGAATTGAAACAGATTCTAAAATTAATTTTTGGTTCACATTAAAAATTAAAATGCCAAAATAACAATTATTTAAAAAGAACTGACTGCAATAACTCATTCTGAAATTTTGAATGCATAAATTAAAAAGAAAGGACAGAAAAAGAAAATCTGTTTAAATCCTGTTAAGGCCCGCCTACATGTAGCAATTTCCTTGGCCGACAATATCTGAGATAGCTTGCCTGTCCACACGGAACTATTTTCTCGTTAGTACAGAAATTCACTCAGCCAATCAGTGTGAAAGTAAGTGTTCCCGCCCTCTACAGCATCACACTGTCTACAATTTGTAAACAAAGCTTACGGTGTTGTCAAATAGTCAAAATAATGGGTGACTATTTTACTTTAAATTGCTACTATAGCTACAGCTACAATTTTGAACTTAGCTACTGCTATGGAAGAAAAAAGAAAAATGTGTTTGGACCAGAAGTTGGGTCAAACGGGGAGAAATGGTGAGAAGTGTAGTACCCTACTCTAGGAGTTGCATATTGAAGACATGGCATAATTTGGAAAGTATTTACGGAGATCACTGGTGAGAAGTGTAATACCCTACTCTAGGAGTTGCATATTGAAGACATGGTATAATTTGGAAAGTATTTACGGATGATGCCACGTGATTTTAATGTTTTGCTAAATTTAGTTTGCAGTAAAACTTTAAAAAATTATGCTTTTTCTTTGTGTAGTGAGTGCGCAGATTACTCCTTTTTTAAAAAAAATGTCATTTGCTGGCACTCCTATTTGTGCACTTAAATCTTGAAATAATAAAATAACCATGTTTCAGAAAAAAAAAGTAACTACTGTGCTTTAAATCAAAACCTTTATTAATGAATAAATAGACAAGAATGTTATGAAAATCAAACCAGTATGAGTAAAAAGTAATAATAAAGAATAAAGATTTACTACATTACAAAGCAACACTGTAATTTCAATGCAAAAATTGCAAATAAGATATATCGTAAAGGGGCAAAGTCTTAAGTAGTACATTTATTAAACATTAAAAAATATCAGCATAATTAAATAACTAATACAGTCTGAAAACTGTGATCATATGACTCTATCAGTTAATCAGCTAATAAAATTTAGCAATATCCTATTAAATTTTGCTGTAATTTGTTTACGCAAAACTCAATTAACACAAAACTAGTTTGTGACTTGTGACTTCTGAGCTGTAGCAAGACTAGAGTTCACCAGTGATCTATAAACACGGCCATAGCAGAAAAAAATAAAAAAAAAAAAAAAAAGAAAAAAAAAAAAAAAAAAAAAAAAAAAAAAAAAAAGTGTTAAAATTTAATAAACACCACACTCGTTGGCGAAAAAATAAAAAGTGACTTTTAAGTCATGCGGTTCGAATTTAGTGATGGAGAAATGATATTAAAAAATCCTTGCTGGCACAGAAAATCCGAAATTAAGGTGGAGGATCGAATTCACGACCTCAATGTATGGAGAAAATTTGCTCTGCTTTTTACCATTGGCCTACGATCGCTCGTGTAGGAGGTATCGGAAAACCTACATACTTCATCACATGATTAACTCCCATTTTTGGCGAAGTCAATGAGTCTCTGCACTGCTTTAAATCTGGCACGCAATTTCTTGACTGGAGATTTTGCTTTCTGAATTTTTTTTCAATTAGTGCGACCACAGTTTCAAGTAGTTTCTGAATATTTTCCTTTAGTACCCATGACATGGCATCATTAATAGTTTTTGGAACTTTTCTTGGAGGAGTTAAAATATTTTCACACCGACAGAAACATTTGGAATACATAAGTAATGGGGAAGACAAAGACAAAAATAGAGAATCCCTAATTTTTATTTTAAAATTTACATTATCGTGTCCCACACACATTTTCTATATAGAAATCTATTAGTTGAAAAATTTGAATTTCGCTCCAACAAAATACAGCCATATTTATTATTTCAAATGAGAAGAAAAGCACGTGATCACTCAAAGCAATCTTATTGGCTAGAGACTCCAATTTTATTGTAAGCTAGTGAGCAGCGAACACCAATTTTATCATAAGCTAGTGAGCAGCGAATGCCAATTCTGAAATCACAGCAGAGAACATGACCAATTTTTGGCGCATGTGCAGATCCTTAAAATTGCTGCTCTACGAGAAAGTCGGCTGAGAAACTTGCTTCGTGTAGCCTTTAAATTTTAATCCCAACTCCATTACACAGTTTATGCAAAATTTCAAAAATAACAGTCTTCTTTCGATTGCACAGGATTTAATTCTCCAAATGGCACAATTTTTGGATCTGCTTATAAAGAACTAGATAAGCAGAGGTGGGAAATGTGCATCCTCTGTGAGTTTCTTGTGTGGCCTCTAGCTCTTGTATTAATATTTAATTATACAGATTACGACATTTTGAAAATTAACAGAATTAAATACCATGAATTTAGAATGTTGTAGTGTTGCAGACTTTCACAGTCTGAAATTATTGCCACTTTGGTTCACTTTTTAGTTTGGCAACATCTAACAATAGAAAATTTTCTGTTTTACTTTTATTTTTGGCCATGGCTCAACCCTACTCGAAATACACTAACCCTGTTGCTATAGCAACCCTTCAGACACTGTGATGAATGCTGTTATAAAGACACACAGTACCTACTTTTCTCTCTATATCCCGCACCCCTTAGTACTTCCCTCTAAATTGCGGAGTTAGTGATTTGTAGTTATCTGTGTGTGCTTGTAACAGCCTGGTCTCATATTGCTGTTGGCCATTGTGAAAAATCTACTTATTGTTTTACTCATTCTGAGGTCTTACTAATAGATGGTTTTATTGTATCTTTAGTAAGTATACATTTTCATAAAGCTACTATTTGCTATTTTTTTTCCCCCTCCATCATGACAAATTGTAAGAGAAGAAATTCATGTAATTCATGGAAATAAAGTTCCTGATTCTCATGTGTCTGAACATTTGACTCCCATGTGACGCTACTTACATCTGAAAGCCAAAATGTTTTTTTTTTTTTGGCCATATTAGCAGATATTTGTAAATTTATGTGTCTCCCATTTAGTGTACTCATTCACATCAGCTTACGTTTTTTTAGGAAATCGGGAGAATTTTCTCAATGATAGAAAATATTTTTAAATGCTAATAATATATATAAAGAAAACACCTTTCTTTTTAAATAATGAATTAATTTTAAATAACTAATTATAATATCTGAAAGTTCAGTGACTAATTCTTAAATGTGAACAGTATAAAAACACTTGCATGTTGGAGGTAAAAAATATTATTCGTACCTTTTTATACAAAAATAATTCTTCAGTTTTCGTACAAATGCTAAGAACATTGGCTTTCAATAAGAAAGAAACTCTGTAATTTTGTTCTTAGCAATTGCTACGTAGGCCTGCTTTTGCTAATAAAAGTTTTCCTAATGTGTCCTAACTAATATTGGATTTAAATTTGGTACTTGTTTTAGTAACTCTTGCAATCTACATTACTAGGAAGAATAGTCAGAATTGCCAACCTTATTCTCTACTTTAGAAGCATTTACTTCTTCCTTAAAAAATGTAAATATGTTCCACTGGTCAAGGATTCTAGATAAGCATTTCATTTATACGCAGAATGTATATACAGCAGAATGTAGAAATTTACTTATTTCAGTATTATGCAGCTGTTGGAATTGTTTCCACTTTTCCTTCCTCTTTTCAAGAACTATATATATATATATAATGACAGGCATTAGCCATTTTTATGTTTTTGTCATTACTAAGGCCAGACGTGATGATTATTTCATTACGGAGGCACCTAATAGGTGATAACAGTAGCCACCACTCCAGAAAAATTAAGGACCCATCAAGCAAATAGGAACTGATTCAACTAAAGAAATTATCTACACCCAAAGTTCACTTTTGTAATTTGTGAGAATAAAATAAATCTGTAAGTAGAATATATTAGTATTAAACATAGTCTAATATTTAGATTAATTATAAAAAATCAAGAATACAATTAAATTCACAAATGTTTCCCAGTAATTAGGATTAAATTATAAAATTTCTTTAAACATTTATATTTTACATTTATAACAGTCCCATATTTTAAAGCAGCTTTTTATTTAAATTGTACAAACAATTAGCTTAACAGTAATTCTTTTTTTCATGCCTCATTTCACACGTACTTACTCAGTCCAGAGGAATATGCAAATATTTATGTCTAGTGGCATAAGTTAAACTGTGAAGTAAAATAATAATCAGCATTACTCATAACCAACACTTTGCTGCTGGCACTTTGTTTGCTTAGACACAGCCGTTGATCAGAACAGACACTGTTAAGTGCTGAAAGTTAGCAGCATTCTGACTGACCTATTTATGTCCCTATCATATATGCTTCTGCTACGTGGGACTAAACGTCGAAAGGGACATTTCTCAAAATCCACATTTCCACGAAACCTACGTAGCTAGGTTACCATTTTCACTTACTAAACAGACTTAAATGCCAAACAGCAAACAATTATCGCTCAGATTGGCGAAAGAGATGTTTGTTTTCAGATTCCATGCTGTATTGCTTTTATGGAAGCATTTCAATATTTCCTTTTTGACATTTTAAACTTGTTTGTTATTATGGAAGATTAAATGTAATATGAGTGAAATACATACATGTTTTACTATGTTTCAGCACTTTCATAAATACTACACTATATCAAAATAGCACATATTCTGAATTTTATTACTTCCTTCTTGTTTGTTTCATAGCTTGGAGAAATGCCTAAAACCTGTACAACAAAGAAATCTTTTGATTTTAATCACTCAGTTAATAATAATGAATTATTTAAAATTAGATTCTGTTTGTCATTATCCTTCCAGCACGCACGTATGCACATTTACGAAAAATTCAGTTTTTAATGCACATTTTTTGCATATTGAAGCTGAGACGTCTGAATATCATTTCTATTCCTCCTTTCTACCCTTCCTCACATCATGGAATGTGCCAACAGGAAGACATTTGAATTTTTTTTCTTTTTTACAGGGCATTTGTGCTACGTGGCAGCTTTTTTGTAAAAGTTACGACACGCGCTTATTCCTGGGTGAATATTTCTTTCTCAAATATTTTGTAAATTTGTGTTATTAATTGTCATGTATTATTTTAATTTGAATACGTTTGGCTCTGTAAATTTTATATCAGTTTTCATGGCAAAACAATATGTGCAACCAGCTGATTTTGCTCACATTCTTCAAGAATTTTCTGATGACGAAAAGGAAGCCAAGGAAACCTTTGGATGGGAGAACAATAGCGATTTCCATTCCTTATTTTCTTTTATTTCTATTTTTTAGAAATAAATAAAAAAATATTAAGTTAGTTTAAAGTGCGTTTTTGTAACCTAGTAGGAATAAATTTCCTTGCAGAAGTAAGTAATGCTAAACTTACTTTTTTTCCTACCAAGGTGTTTTCCTTTTTGATTTGTCTATACTTGCCTTTGATGAATACTAAAATTAGCTTCGATTTTAAAATTAATTATTACATAATAAATTTAAAACGTTTTATAATGAAATACATCGTTGCATTTCCATCTCACTAACATAAGAACTTAAAAATAATTTACTTATATTTGAATGCGATATCATTTATATTTTGCAATAATAAGATTAATATTTCATTTCTTAACAAATTTATTATCAATATTCACTCATTTCTGTCGTTTTTCATGCTAAAAACAGTAAAATAATGGATGTCATAAAAAATAAGATGTGCACGTGCTGGAAGGCTAAAACTCCCAAAGAATTTGTTGATTTTGTTTCCAAGAAGATGTGAAGTAAAGTGGTTTTTCCAACCAAAATCCTATTGCTTGTTTTTATGGCTTTAGAGTAATTCTACCTACAAAAATAATTTATGTGTGGATAATACTCATTGAAAGCTATAAGATGGCACTGCTATCTCGTTTTTGAAAAAAATGCTGTTAAGTGATTTTGCCCCTATATCCTTCATATATATTTAACTTTCAGAAATATTTGGAGATTTTTTTAAAACTTAGCACGTTACTGAATCATTATGAGAAGTACTAAATAAATACTATATTGCATTAAACTATAAAATATTACAGAAACAATAAATAATTCAAATACCTTTAAATCTTCTTCGTTAACATCCATAACTACAAGTTTCAAAGCATTACTGTTGATGGCAGAATCCTCTTGTAAAACATCAGTCTAAGGAAAATTTTAAGCATACTTAAATATATAAATGTATATTAAAAGTATTTAAGAAATGTACAGTAAAGAGAGAGCAAACTCAAATATATGATATAAAGACAATAAGAATTAAAAAATAATAAGAATATAAGAAACAATTTTATAATTCAAAATTTAGAGATATGAAATACATATAACAAAATTTTATAAATACATAAGAAATTGACTTTATAAGTGTACCAAATTGGTTAAAGCTTTAATTACTAAAAAAAATAAAATAAGCTTTTAGTTATTCTATTTTCATAAAAGTAGAATTCTACAAGAAAATTTTCAACAAATGAAAGATATATAAAGCACTTCATAGTATCAATGTTACATACCTTAAGATTAAAAGAAATATATTAAAAAAATTTAAAATACACATAATTAAAAAAAAATTCTGTGATTGGGGAAGGGAATTAAACATTCTGATTTTTGATTCTAAGAAATAGGTTGAAGGTATGATTAAGCAAAGACGAAATATTTGCATACGAATGACAATGAGAAAAGATTCTTAATAAAAACTATCTTATAATCAAAATTTGACTTTAAAAAAGAGTTTAATATAATACTTCTTTATTAAAAAAGGGACTATAATTGATTGCCCAAATTTGTAATATGAAACTTTTAAATATTTCAAAAGAATTTACATATGACCACTTTAGTGAAGAGAAACTGTAGTATATTAAAAATAAGAAACAACTGACAACCTTTTCATTCCTCCCTTATTAAATTTCACTTTACTTTTTTAAACATTTTAAAAACAACATACCTATCAAAATTGATGCAAATTTCGATTGATGATAATAACAGTAAAATAGATTTATCATTGGGATATATATTCTTATTCAGGATGAAAGTTAACAATGATGTTTGATATTTTTATGATGGTATGATCTTTCCCAAAAGACAAGCCTAATGAATAAAACATATAAAAATATCAAAGAGATATTCAAAGAAGTCATAGAATAAAATATCCTGATTATAACAAGCAATAAATGGTGTGAATTTATGTTTTTGATATAAAGAAGCAATCTTAAATATAAGAACAATTTAAAATAATTTAACTTGATGCTAATTTTTCATTCTACACATTTTATAACTCTTTAATTAATTTAATAAATAAATATATATGTAAACGTATACATGTGCTCATACATATATCATACATCTATATATAGGGGTAAGATTAAAAAAGTTTGTAAGGATCTTAAGTTTTACTAACGTTTATTTTATTTTAAATCTTTACTATCACTTCTTATTTTCTACTTCCGGCCAGAATTATAAGCGTTAATGTATTTATGCAAAGTTTGTCTGGCGAACGCCAAGTACTTAAGTTGTGGCTTTTTGCCAAGCGAAAGAGAGGAAGCAGTGAGTCGAAGCAGGCCGCTTACCTTAGAAGTTTTACTCAGTTGCTGGTTGCCTTCCAGGCCAGAGGTTTTAATCCTCTTGATAATTTTAAACGTATTGTAGTGTTCACAGTTCTCTGTACTACATACGGCTTCCTGTTAATATAAGGCCAATCTTCCACGTTTATTATTTTAAAGTTAAATTAGAGTTTAGTTTTATTTTTATATTTTTACGTTTAGACCACAAGTAGTGGGTCTGTGTATTCCGAAGTACGGAAGTTATTGTAAATAGAGAAAAATAAAGGGTTTTGTATACCCTTCTTGTGTATCCTGTCTACTTCCCACAGTGATTGAACATAGCTTTAGTAAGCTCTCTGTTCCGAGTCAGGTCCTTGCATGTTCCCGAAGAAAGTAAGACGGAACATTGAACCTGATAAGTTAAGAACTGGTAGGCTGCCTAAATACGCAATAACATTAAGGATTTTAAGTAGCAATAAATTACCTAAATGAATTGCACCATTGTAATTTTAAAGACTAGGTTATCTAGTCAAAAAAATTTTTGGAAGCATTTCTGCCAAACCTGAATCTTACCACTGAATACATGGAAAAGTATCATACTGTATAGCATATCACGCATACGTGCATGCCTAAAAACATAAGCACATACATATTAGCTCCATGCCAAAATCTATCTGAATCAGCTATTTTGGTTGCTTTCATTTGAATCTATTTTCTGTGTTATTTTTCAGTATTCTACACAGGGTTAGAGATGAAAACACAATCTGAGATGTGAGAAAGTTTATAGGGAAGTCATAAACCAATTTTTCTGAAATTCATGCATACATCAATCATTTAACCTTCCAAAACCGGGCCGAAATTCTCATAATATAGCCTTCAGATTGGCGCAATCTGAAACAGTTTTGCCCATTCTTTGAAATTTTCCTAATGAGAAAAGTCGTTAGTCGTCTCCATGGATACAGTAAAATTTACATTTTTGTCGGACGCTGTCCCATAGTAGATGGGTTGCTAGATTTGTGATTTTTTCGATGATTATTTTGCTTTCATTTAAATGAAGTTCTAAATAAATAGTGCACTAAATGTTCAGTGCACTATTTATTTAGAACAAAATGTATGATTAGAATGAGATTCAATACAATTAGATTTTGAGATGAGCTTACAGCAATAATAAAGCTTTAAATCACTTTTTTCGATAATTTTGTTATTATAATCTAAAAAAGAAAATCAGAGATACATTGGTTGCATTTCATCATTTAACTAACAAATATTACATTGGACTATCAGGCAAAGAAGGTATATCTTTAACGAGAATTTTTCTTTGTAAAATTGGCTTTTGTTTATGTTAGCCGAGAAAAAATATCTGTGACCTATACATGCAATCATCAAAAGAATTTTTGAGAACAGTTTTAAATGTTCATGAAGAATTAATTATACGTCAATTTCTTTCCATAGGTAGAAATTTCGTCTAAAACCATCGTTATATCCAAAAGGTTGAAGTCTATTTCATTTTCAACGAATATTCTATTTGCACATAATATATTTTTCTAATTTTATTTAGAAAAGAGTAATCTTTCACGTTTTTCAAAAGAATAAAAAATATACTGGGTGTTGACACTTACCAATGTAGTAAATCTGTTTTTTCATATTTCTTCCAGTAATGAAAACGATTACCCTGGAATATTTTCAAAGCAAAATTAAGAAAACGTTTACGCCAAATTTTGCATAAAGTATCTTCTCGTGTATATTTTTATTTAAAGTGTGGAATTTTCTCTTTGAAAAAATATTAATCATGAAGAGCAAAATTAATTCATGAGAAATAACTTTGAAATGCAATAATAATTCCATCGTAATATGAAATATGAAATAGTGGAGAAAAGTGCAATACAGTTTATTTATTCACAAATAATCCCCTCATATGCGTAATTTATGTACTGTCGATTGAGAAATATAGGTTAGTAAATTAAACCGGTTATTTCAATACTTTTTCTTTATCAATTTTTTTACCAGGCCCTTCAGTAGAGCGGTAAAGGTGGCTGAACACTTGTAGCTCGCTCGGGTTTGAATCCCGGCTAAAGGGTTGGATTCATGGTTTTTGTGTAACGTAAATGCAAGCCAGCTTCCCTTAGAAAGTCCTCCGCGAAGGCATCCCTCCCCTTATACAGGTAATTGTTGTGTGCTTTGATGTAATTCAGTAAGCGAACAAAATTAATCCAATCAAACCCGAAGAACGGGTTGATTACATGTGGAGTTTTCCACCAGGAACGTAAATGCGAGCAATTTTCTCTTAAAAAGGTTTACACGAAAGCATCCATTCCCTTAAGCAGATAGCGTTCGCGTGCTTTTCCGTAATCCAATCCTAATTCTCATACATTTAATAGTAAGTTGACATACACCTTATTACAGACAAAATAACAACTTTTTAAAAGATATTTTTTTTTTTATTATTTTATCTGAATTCCCTTTATCTCTTGAGGAGTATAAGAATTTCAGCAAATAAAACTGGCTGAAATTTTATACAATAATGTAACTGATGTTTTGATTCAATTTAGAAGTAACGTGAGCTTTACTGATATTTAGATACTTTTTGGCAGATCTCATCCTAAAAGAGGGGGTCTAAAGATAAATTGATTTTATTTAATTTACAATCAATGAAAATCATTGAAAGCAATCACTGAATGAATGAAAATCACAAAAAACTATTATGCATACAATTGTCTCTTATTTATCTCCTGATAAATCAGACAAAATTGCCTGCATAATAGAAGCACTTTGAAAGAGATAACAATTAGTTCTTAAGGGTTTTAGGCACTCCAAAAAAAAAAGAAGGTCGAAGTAAAATCTTATTATTCATAAGTATAAAAAGGAAGTAAACGAGTAAACGATAAAAAGCGGTTTTACCTATTTTCTAGAAGGGCATTAAATCTAAAATATTAATCTATTCTTATTTGCTATGATTAAAAAGCATTAAACCTGGTAAGCTTAAACAGCGTGCAAAATTGCTGACATTTTAATCACAGCAAAAGTTAGTACTAAAAAAGTTAGCACTAAAATTGTGAGACAGTGTTCTAACGTCTGAGAAAGAGATGGCTTCTATTCGATTTTCAAGTATATTGGCGCGAGACAAAAATCTGTGGTTTTTGCCAAAATGTAGCCAAACTGATAAGAAGAGGGAAACAATGTGTAGCCAGTGGCTATTCTCAGCAGTGACAATGGACCACCCAGAGATCTACAGATAGGCGATTCTCTAAAATAGGGAGGGGATGGCTGATACGACAATTGTACTACAGCCAGCGTTACAGAAAGTCATTTTCCTGGTACAACTGCTGTACCGCCGGCTTCAGAAAGTTAAATAGGTTTTTATCAAAGCAATGATCTAGCAGTTTTTGACTTTGGCAAAGAGGCAAACTAACTTTTTATCAATTTTATCTTTTCTTAAATAGTTATCACATTTGGTAATTATAATTATATAAACATCCCTAATCTTAAAAATTAACAGTTAAAACAGATTTTTAAAAATATTCTAGTTAAGTAGTAATAAAACTTGTCATACCATATCTTTCATTTTTTCATCTTTGTAAGCTGACCTAGAACAATAAAACATTATTTTTGCATAAAAACAAAATAGCTGCTTTACTAATTAATAATTTATATACATACATAAACAAGCACAGGTGTAGAAAGTATATTAATAATTCATCAAATGAATCAAGAGAAAAATATATACAGTTTTCTAACCTTCTATGGAGAATTCTGAACAAGAAAATTGGCAAGTATTCACTCAAATTAAGAAAACTAATGCAACACCCATGCAGTTAGTCCATTTCATTGGAAATAAAAGAGTTAAAATAAAATGGTACTCTGGTATTATTGCAACCACCCTGGCAGAAGTTGCCAAAATGTAACAACCACGCACATAACAATTCCTCAAGTAACCATATTGATACCAGTAAGTTTGAATAAGAACATCCCTCTTTTTGGACATGTTGTTTCAATTGTATTAGAAACTGTAAAGGCAAACTGCGTTATTTTTGGTATTTAGTTGAATTTTGAAATATATGCTTGTGGAATTTGCCTGCAAACAAAGAAAGTTCTGTGAAATTTTTGTAGGTTCGAGAATAGTCATCTACCATTTACTACAGCAGTCAGATTTATATACCGCTGGAGTAAGGATTTAACAAGAGTTAAATTTTGTTTGAAAGCGTAAGAAATGGCCAGTAAGACTAAGGTAGTCTGAAATAATTACATGCGGGCGATAGCATTTGTAGGTAGTTTTAGAATTGTTTTCCATGATAAATATCAAATTAAAATATGTACGATATGAAATAAATAGCTTTCTTCAATTTGAATTTACCATTATGTTTCTTCTTCAAAAAATTGCGACAAGGTGGTTGCAATAATATCAAACTACTGATAAAATTAACAATTTTTCAGTAGATTTTACCCACTTGACAGCTAATAAGTCTGTATTATTAAGAAATTGCTAAAAATAAAGAAAAGGTTTGACAGCATACTTCACCTATAGTATAAACACTAGAATACCTTTTGACAAGATAAAGTAATTAAAAGTATATTAAAAAGCCTATGACTTGGGCTAAAGCTGCAAAGTAATGAACTAATAAATAATTCAGAATAAGAAAAACGTTCCATATACCACCTCCACGAAACATAAATTTAATTAAAAAACCCCGAAAAAAAATTTTAGTCAGAATTTAAATTAGTATTTTAAAATAGTAATTTCAAATTCTTATTAAAAATCTGCCTAGAAAAATCTTTAATTGCAAACATCACAAAACCAAAAGTAAATTTTAAATATTGAAAAAGTAGTTATAAATTGAATTTATGTTCCTTGGAGATGGTATATGGAAAGTTTTCTTATTATAAATTATTTTGACAAGATAATGTATAATAATGGTCTTAGTTATAATTCTGCTTTTAATTCAAAACGTTTTTAGCAACTTGAAGGCACTTTTGATTTTGATAAAACTCTTCAAAACTAGATGTAGATGCCTGCCAATGAAGCATAAATGTATTCATTTACCTTTGGAATTGCATATAATTTATAGTGGCATTACAAGTAAAATGTATTGCTCATCAGCAGTATAATCATTTAAAAAGTCACTTTATCTGGACCTTTTAACAGTATTTTGCAACAAGCAAAATTTTGTACCATTGGTGTCATAAATATCTGGTTGTAACAGAAGTTTTTCATCATAAAATATTCTTAATAAAATTAGAAAAAAGAAAACATGAAAGCAGTCCTTTAGTGTAGGTAGTAATCACCAACCAAATCTATGATTTTCTGCCAATGTTTTGGTAGTTTGATATGACATTTTTAGAATGCTTCTTTTTAAAATATCATTAAAAAAACATGTTCAATATTGATGTTTAGGTTATTCAGAAAATTTACTTCTAGTTAATTTTTTTACGTTAAATAGCTCTAAAATAATCAATTTCTACTAGTTACAACATAACTTTGTAAGAATCAGACACATTAGAATAAATAAATAAAGATATTTCTTTGCACTGTTCAAAAGATAAATAAATTATGATTAGTTTGCCATTATAATTTAATAAATATTTAAAAACTCTTAATTGACTACCAGGTATTTAAAAAAAATCACACCAGTATCAATAAATACATTTGCAATTCTCAAGACTAAGATTTAATTTCTCTTATGATTTTGCTTATGCAATCTCTCACAAAGTCTTGAATTAACTGTTGCACTCCAAAGACTGAAAATGCTCCTGTCAAGTAAAATTCAGTAACAACTTAATAACAAATAAATAATGATAAAAAAAAGTTTTGTTATACAGTACAAAGTCTTTAATCCGGACCTCAAAACTACAAACTTGCGTAGTGTTTTCACATGCACATAATATTTTTATGCATGCGCATAACACGTTTACGCATGCGCGTTTAATGTATAATGGATGGTATAAGCTAGGCTAAAATTATCTAATTATCCATTTCAGTTAATGTTGCAGATTGCGTTGTTCCTTAATCTTCTAATTGGATACGGCTTATTATTTTTTGCAGACTGTTCAAGCAATTTTATAAAAAGTAAGCTTGAAATTTCGATTATGTCAAAAAGAGTTTCCGATTCTGGAGCTGCCAAAGGATCTACAAAGTGAAAGCATGTTTCGATGTCCATCAAATAAAAAGTGGAATTGCTGTAAAAAATGGATAAAGGCATGAAGAAAGTGACAGAGAGGTTAGTGAAAATGAAAAAAATTTCGATTGACAAGTTAGTCGGTATTATCGAACAGCAATTACAGGACTTGAACAGTGGAACTTTGTAACTGAACAAGAAATTATGTCTGTTTATAGAATTAAAGAGAAAGTATTAGCACATAAAACAAAGCAACTTAAACAACTTACATTAAAAGAAATTTTTAATAAAGTAAAGAAATAAATATTAAGTTTTTTTTTTTTTTTTTTTTTTTTTTTTTTTTTTGTGTGTGTGTAAACTTTGATACTCTTTAGATCATAATTGCTCTTTATTTCATAAATTACAGTTTCATATTTCTAATTTTATAATTTCTGCATGCCATCTTACCAGATTTAAATTGGTGATCTATAATCCAGAAAAACCCCTAATCCGGAATCGCTGAAGTCCTGATGAGTCCGGATTAAAGACTTTGTACTGTACAATACTCATATTTTAGAAAATGAACGGCAGGCTGTACGTCTTCTCTGATATAAAAACTCTAAAATTTTACTGTATCATACATAAGACAAATGACAAGAACATGTTGGAATTAGCAATTACCACATGTGTGAGTATGTCTTTTCTGTTTCTTGAATATTCATTGTAGCAATTAGCATATTAAGTAATGCTTCAGCCATTATTTTTACATTAAAATTTTACTTGCCCCTCCCTCGAAGAAAAAAATTGTAATTTTAAAAACAATGATGGTAAAGACTGTTAAGATCCTGAATGCACTTTACACTATTTCAGCATACTTAACTCTTCAAGTGGCAAGGTTTGGGTCCCCAAACTCTTAACATACTTATAATACCATAGATAAATGGTATTTTCTTCATTAAAATTCCAAAATGACCCTCCTATATTATACCTTACTTTTTTTTCCTTCCAATATTTATACTAGTTTGTCTTGACATAAAAGGTCTATCCTGAAAGCAATGTCCTCATTTTTTTTTTTTTAAACAAATTTATTGAACTGATTTGTACAATTACTCAATATTCTTCGAAATACAACCCTCCTGCTTTAACACACTTGTTCCAATGTGATTTCCATGCTTTATATGCGTCTCGGAAGCCCATCACAGGAATGTCTTTTAGTAACCTCGTCGTAACCACCTTGATGTTCTCTAGGGTCCCCAAATACTGTACTTTGAGGGATTTTTTAATTTTTGACAATCTTTATCTCTTTTATAATCTCCGATCAAAAAACTCCGATGGCATTTTCTCAAGTTTGAAACAAAACTTTTCGCGTATTGCTGCTTGAGAGTTTTTTTCCACCTTGATTTCGACCGAGCATTCGTAGAAGGGTTCACTGAAATAGGCACTGCTACTCTCCAGGAACCTGGAGCGGAATGGTGCTGGTCGCACTGTGTTCCTAAGACTTCACACACTCTTTCTTCTGTGTAAGTGGCAAAGCTGTGTGACAAATAGTTGTGACAGAAGAAAATGGGATGCATTACTTTTGGAACAGACCTTATATTTCAAAATATGTGCTTTGGCTGGTTAGAGGGTTAATTTAAATAATACACTAATAATGCAATACAGTTATCTGTCTGATAGATTCCCCCCATCCCACTTTGATTTTCATCTCTTTAGGTCATTTAAAAATTTTCTGAGCAGCTTCATTGAAGACTGTCGAAACATTACCTTGATACTTCTTTACAGATAAACTCTACTATAATTCTTTCAATAAAGCAATTTTCAAGCTGCCAGAGAGAGAGCTAAAAGTTATAGAATGAAATGGTGCTTATATGATTTAATGAAATTTTTTTATGCTTCTGTACTATTTCATTTGTAATTATTCTGAGAAGAAAAACCAAATAATTTTGTGGATGACCAAATACATATAACATACTTGTAATCCCTTCACATTTCTACCACCCAAGCATCAAAATTTAATATGCAAGATTATAACTCAAAGATTATTATTTGGTGTCACTTATTTTTTCAATAAAACAAATAATTTGAAGCTATCCATTTACATTTCAGTCTTTAATACTTAAATAATAAGAAGTTTTTATGAAAAAGAATTAGCATGCATTAGTGGCTAATGAAAATATTTTTCTAATCTTTCATTTTTATAAAGCTTCATTGTGTAGGTCAGGGGTCGGCAACCTCTTTGTCATCAAGGGCACAAAACAAAATTTAAAATTCCTAGTGGGTGCCAATCATTCAAGTTTCATAATCAAACGTTATATTGCAAACTAGTTTTGTTTAGAGGATATAACTTTATTGAACTAAGTAACAAACATTTATAATTTATACTCTTTATATAAATTTCTTTTTTGATATGTCAATGCGAAACTTATGTTCGTAATTTGTCTGCTAACTTATTATAATCAACAATATAATTTGAGTTCCATGCTCTTAAAAAATTATCTAAGTGTGAATCAGTAAGTTTTGAATGATATTTTGATTTGAAATAAGTCATTGAAAATGTCCCACAATTATAGGTACTTGAGCAATAAAAATTAATCTTTATCACACATGACTTTAAAATAGGATACTGATTTCTGTTTACCAAGCTCCAAAATATCTTATTAGTTTCACAAGGTTTTACAATAACATCAGTTTGTATGCTTACTATTTCTAAGTTTTCCATATTGTTAAGATGGAAATAGTTAAAAATTGCTGTAGCAGTGTTTTCTGCTTCAGTAATATTAAAGGGATTTTAAAATAGGCTCTAAATTCACAGTCACCAAATCTAGAATCAAATTCAGTTAGCGATGCAGACACAATTTGAAGATACGTGTACGTACCGATGTCATTTCAGACATTCTGCCATTTTTTTGGTAATAGAGAAATGCATTAACAATTTTGCTAAAAGAGGAAACATATACAATTCTCCCATTGACTTGAGACCACCAGCGGCCGAGAGGTAAAGTCGCTGAACACTGGTAGTTCGATCCGAAGTTCAAATTCCGTGAACGGGCTAGCTGCATGGGTGTTTTCCCCACGTGTAACGTGTATACGAGCCAGTTTCCCTTAGAAAGTCCTCCACGAAGTTATCCCCCCCTTAGGCAGATAGCCCTAGTGTGCTTTGCCATAATTAAATACACCAACAACACCCATTGACTTGAAGCTGTTGATAGTGCTGATCATATCAACAATGTGATTATCCACGACTTGTAATTTCAAATTTAGCTCATTAATATTTCAATGTTAAATTGGTCAAAAAAGCCAAATTTGTTTACCAATTTTTATCTTCTAGTTGTTCGTTGTTTTTTTCCTTGGGATGTCAAAAACTCTTTTATTTGTGGCAGCAAACTGATAAATCATTCAAGCACCTTACCCTTGCTCAGCCAATGAACCTCATGTGCAAAAGAAGATCAATAAATTGTGTATTTTCCAAAAGCAGTTTAAATAGTCTAAGCTGCACTCCATTTGTCTTCATTACTGAGCTGATTATTTTTGTAACAACCACAATTACATCTTGGAATTCAATGATTTTTACACACAATGACTGCTGGTGTATAACGCAGTGACATGCAATAAATTTTGCAGGCAAAGCTGTCTCTGGATGTTTTATCTTGAACTTTTCACTTAACGTTTTAAACAATTTACATACAAATTAAGTTTCAAGAATAAACACTCTTTGTCCAATTGAAAAGGGCATTCTGCAGAACTATATTCACAACAAGCTTTAAATTGACAACTGACAATAAAACTGATCACTAAACCACTGCTCGACATCATGTGACCCCACTCAAGCAGCGTGCTAAAAGTCAAGAAATAACATCACTCAAATAGCTTCAAATATCATGTTCAGTATAACACCAGGCCTCTTTTATTTTGGTCATGCAGTACTTTTGCTACTGAAATAACTTGATACTTACTTAGCAATATGAACAGGTGTAGTGTCTTCAGCATCAAAAAAGATATCTGAATCACTTTCTGAAGACATATTGAATGTTATATAAACAGATCTTTTGTAAAGGAAAATTATTTTTTCTTTCACCTAAAATAAAAAGAAATATATAAAGACACACAGCATTTGATTTAAAATTTTGTTTAGACTTTCTAGCTGAATCAAATAACAATAAATACATTTATTGTTATTTGATTCAGCTAGAAAGTCTATTCAAAATAACTCTTATTATTATGCAATTACACAGAATATACAGAAAGAAAATGTTAGTTTTGTTTGTAAATTAAAAAAAAGGGGGTGGGTGTGTGGCTATAACTAAAGTTACCCTATTTAGACCTACATAGTACATTCTAATAGACCTATTTCGTTGAATCTTGATATACACACATTATATAGATCGTGGGAAAAGCGAATTCGCAATAAAAATCAATAGTTCAAATTCTGAACGACAGATGGAGTTTTTCATGCAGTATAGAAAGGATATTATGCAAACCTGTAGTGTTTTAAAAAGCCAGGAGTCAATGCTATAAAGTCATTCTTCAACATGCCTTCAGAGAAGAAAGATCAAACTTAACTGATCAAGTTTTTTTTTTTTTTATCAAAATGATAGTAATTTCTTAAGTGCACAATGAAATATTGATACTTGAAAGGTTTCCTAAAAAAGCTTGAGGCAGGGTTTGACAAAGAGGACAACTAGATTTGAAGAGAATGTGTGTACTGTGAGGAAGAGGATGGAAATGGATTGCAAATGAAATTATGGAAGAAGCTGCTCTTGCCATGATCCAAAGAGCATATGGTTCCTAATATTCTTCAATAAGTGTTTGAGAATTGTCTCATGATTTGTCTCTTCCTTGCTCGACAGTACAAAAGTTTCTGCAATTCATTTCAAAGTAGTATCTATACAAAATCCAAGTTCTGTAAGAGCTGCATCCTGTAGACACAAACAAATGCACTGATTTTGCTAGCCTTCTTTTGGCCAGAATAGCCATTGTCAAAGCATTCCATAGAACATTTTAAGGTCAATCAAGTCACGTTTTACCCTAGATGAAGAAGTTAATAAATTGTTGCAAGTTATAATCCTGTACATTACGGTACGGTGAAGTTTTCCTGCTGATTTCATTCTCGGTTCCCTTTTCTTTGAGAAAATCTTCAAGGCCCTCAAATAGGTTCCAATTTGCAATAATGGGTGCCCATTATTGCAAAATTCTTCAGCAGCATGTCATCCCTGCTTTAGAGGAATGAGAATTTTCAGAGACTACCATGTTTATGTAAGATAATATATCACCTCACATTGATAGCAAACATAACATGTCATGTTGCCATAACTGATCGAGAAGCCCTTAATGCTACCATTGAACATTCTATAACATGCTTTGAATGTGTGATTGAAGCAAATAGAATGCACACTGAACAAAAAGATTTTTGTTTCCAATTTGTGTTTTTGTTCATCATGCACCCTCTTCTCATCTGGTGGTTAAAATTTGAACTATTATTTGATACTGCAGTTTTCTTTTCCTCATATAATGCATATACTAAGTTTCATCACAATAAGCCTACCAGAATGGGTTCCATATAATTTTAAATAAGGTAATTTTAATTATAACCACATTCTATATATGATACAAGAAGTTTATCTCATCTTTTGGAATTCCAATTACATGTGGATTTGACATTGTACTTGCTGCCATGATGATTTGAATTATCAACCAAGAAAATATACAGGTAGAGAGCACATAAAAGCAATATATCTGTAAGATTAAACCATTAGATAAAAAATTTCAAACAGTTTCAAAGCATACGAAATATATAAGACATTATTTGACGTACGTGTTTGATTGAGGCGGTACTGCCACCCTAGTATAACAAAACATTCATCAAGCATATAGGAAAAATACATCTGACAATAGCATATGTTGTTGCTAATTTTAAAAATTGAGGCACGGAGACAGATGCTGTAAAAATCAACCGAGTTCTGGATGTTCACTGGTAGTTTCTGTGCAGATTCTGGACCAAGCTATATGCAATGTTTCTCATGCAACTGTTAAAGAATTAGAAAAATTAAATGGACTAAAAGGTTACAGTGCACCAAATAAAGGTTATATTACTTTAAAAAAGGGTAACAACAAATCAACATGATGAAATTAAATTGAAAACCAGGTAAAATCTCAGTATACATACAACATATATACATTAAACATATATTAACACTAATTAAGCAATTAAAGACCGATCAAATTAAATGATAAAAGCCAGTTTCTCTCAAATACTGAATTGAATTAAAATTGACCTTGTTTCCAATTAAATTATCAAGAGGTATTTAAATATTTTAAATGAAGACTCTTAAAATACAAACATTCTTCTAAAATGTGACGCACCATAAGATGGACATTACATTTTGAGCAAAGGGGCTCACTCTCGCCTTTCAAAAGATAACTAACTATAAGCAGCACGAGAATGCCACTCTTTTCCTCTGATTTCTACTAGCCTCCTAAAATTCCACTTGGGGTTTTACGTTTCTAAATTTATTACTTTGCTGCGATGATTGCCTATTTGTTTACTTTTATGCCCACATGTCCAGGAACCCACGTGTACAGTATACGATAACCACGATTCTTTGAATTTAAGTTTAGCCTTAGGACTTCAACAAGAACTGGATTCTGTGTATCAGAAAAAATACCTAATGTGTTCGGTGCACTAAACAGGTTGTAGAGACATTAGGTATTTTGGAAGCAGGAAAGATGAAAAATGAACAAAGTCCTCGCCGAGAATCGAACCACGACCTCTGGAATACATGCCCAGCATGCACACCACCACACCACGAAGGCATGCCCAGAAGATGGGAGAAATACCTTATATACTGCCTCTTTAACCTTTTCGTGATGGTGCACCTTTGTTTAAGATGCTCGTGCACGACGGAAGGGAACCGAAGGCAGTCACCATACAGGATGGAGGTTTTGCATCGCTAAGCCTAATTTTATAAAAAAAAATCAGAAAAAAAAAAAAGTTTAGCTTCTAGCATAGTAATTTTTGGTATCATTTTAGATTATTACTTGAGCTCTTATATATGTTAAAATTAGGACTTAATAACGTTTTTTTCTTTATTTTACATGAAAATATACTTAAAAAATTGCTTATCTTGTAAAATAATTTTCGGAAGCGCTACTCAAATTATGCCAAAGTTTTAATTTATAAAAATCCATCAATAAAGTTTAAAATTAATAAAAAATATAATAAAGGCTATCTACAGTAAGAAGTAACAAAATTTAAAATGAAGACTGAGTGTGGTAAATCTCAAAGCACGGAGAAGTATCACTTCTAACTCTTAGAAAAAGATTGACTTTCTAACTCTTTAGAAAATGAATCATCACCCTCATGTGCATTAATAAATGGTTCATTGACCATACGAGGGTATTCTTCCTCTAAAAAATGGCGCCTTCCCGCCATAATAGACTGGAGGTGAGGTTTTCCGAAATAAAAAGAGAAGAAACGGAAATATATCTGAAGGCAATGCAAAACGTAACAATACTCCACATGCTAACCCTAAAAGACGGTACATAGTAAAGGAAAAAATAAAATAAAAAAAGGAATTGGATATAAATCAGACATGCGAATGTTTTCATTAGCACGCAGCGATTTAAAGAGCTCACCTCTGTTTACGCTTTTCCCACCCCTCCACCCTCGCAAGAGCTGATGAGTAAAATACCAAAGTCAAGCAGAATATATCTAACTCAAGGTCAGGAACCTAAAAGTGTGTTCATTTCAAAAGTAATGGACATAGGATGCCATCTAGTGGCCTTCAGAAAAACGTTCCAGCTTTAAATGCATATACACATCACCCGTCCTCTGAATACAATCTCTAGCAATGCGTGGATGGGATGCCAGGCTGTAAGAGACGTTCTTAGGGAACGCGTATATGGGACACCCATCCTGAAAGGGTTAAAAGGGCGACTGAGGATTTTAGGGGACCCAATCACTAGATCCCAGTTGTGGAGAATCATCATCCACCACCCTTTTAGTTTAGGCGCAACTGTACAGACATTAGATATTTTGGCCATCTTACCAGATTTAAACTGATGATCTATAATCCGGAATCGTCGAAGTCCCGACAAGTCCGGATTAAAGACTTTTGACTGTAGTATATACTTCGATGCCTTTGGAACGATCTTGAAAATTGTCACCAACACCAAAATGTTTACTGCTCATCATAATGTCGCCAAATCTCATGTGTACTGCAGATGGAGGTTAGAATAGAATACATGAACCTCGATAGTACTGCATACTAGGATTAAACCGATTTTGCTTTATACGAAAATACGTATTTTCTTCAGTTAAACATGTACTGCATATGCGAGTCTCTCGATTCTCGACACTACTGGAAACCAAAGTTGCTGGAAACTTGCTTTGCCTTTCTAAAAGACAATCTAATTGGAGCTGTGAAAATTGACTCAATGCCAGCTGCCCGCTGCCCAAATGACGTTCACGCGATACATAATTCGCCAAGAGAGTGATCACTTCCAACGTCAGAGCAAAACTTACTTTTTTTAGGGGATGGGGGATATCGCCGTAGGAAATTCCCTGACCTTTTTCCGGTTTTCCAGGTAGCGTGGCAATCCTGCTTACCATAAACCTTTTTGCTGTGAAAGAAATTAGACACTAGGTGGTTTCTCTTGAGAAAGGCTTTACGGATGGAGGTTTCTAGAAGAATCATATTATTGATCATTGTTCTGCCTTTACGGAAACTACTTTGGTAAGGGAAAATAACATTATTTTTCTCCAAGTAATATACTAAGCAGCGGTTTACCATTTTTTACAGCAGCTTGCAAAGTAATTAGTACGTGAGATATGCTGATAGTTAGATGGATTCTTTGGGTCTTTGCCCGGCTTAGCTATGGAAATGACTACAGCTTTCTTCCATGCACCGAGAAAGGTATGCTCTCTCTACACTCGATTCCAAAGAATGAGAAGGGCAGCCAATAACTTACAGTAGAGACGCTTTCATAACTGATACCATCTGGACCCGGACTAGTTCTATGCGACTCCAACATCGCTTTCTTCAGTTCAAATACAGTAAAGTTGTCATAACGATCCAAGTTGTAAGAGCTGAAATACAAAGGGAATTTTTCCCAAGAGATGCTTTGCAGAAAGAAATGCAAGTGGATAATTGTTGCCATTAGAAACGGCGCCATAGTTGTCACCAATAGCATACGCAATTTCTTCTCGGGAGCTCATCACTCAGCCATTTTTTCCCCAAAACGAAAGTGAGTGGTTTTTATGAAGTCCGCATGCTTTCCCAGACTCTTTTACTTGATGTAGAGAATGTTATTGATGGCGCATATGAGATCCACGACTCCCTCTGGCTCCGAAATCTTACTTTTCTAGCATCTGCTTTTTTGAAGGCTATTATGTTAGACAAAACGGGGGTATTGACGAAAGATTCCCCTCGTTTTTCTATGCTGTCTCAATGTCACCTGGCATTATCTGTTCCACCATGGTTTTGAATACTTTGGTAGTGTTATTGATGTCATAGGAATTAAGCATCTAGCTGCCTGAACTATAGTATCAATAATGGCTTTCACTGTTTTGTCGACATCTTTTACCATTTAGCTCTGCAAGAGATGAGTTCCCAGTCTGCCCTCATGTATAAATCAGGGTTTCCTGATATGGGATTTAGTCCTTCTAGTTAAAGAGATATAACAATAGCAAAATGATAGCTGTTGTAAGGATAACTTCTAACAATAAATGCAGAAAAAGGTAAAACAGATGGCAAGATCAATAGCATGAAATGTCTGTGTTGGTTCGTGGAAGTAGGCATCTTGTCCATTATTGAGGAGAGCATTTCAAATCGTCTGCTCAATTCGTCTTCTCAGGAATTTATGTCTTTACTTCCCCAGAAAAGCCTCCGCCCATTTAAGTCTTCTATTCAGATAAACGGTTCTGGCAGCTGCTCAATTAGGTCGTCCAAATTCTGCTAAACAATGGGATTATTTGGTGGCAAATAAATGGAAACTGTGGTAACCAAAACAAGAAAGTGTGTTTGTACAGCAACAGCTTGTCAAATGGAATATAATTGAGAGGTAATGGATGGAGGGGAGGAGACCCACCCCTCCTCTAACTCGCTCACTTATCAGATTGTCTTTCCTGGCCAAAACATACCTCCAAAGCTTTGCATGCTGGTCTTGTTTCAGCAATGTTTCCTGTAATGTGAAGCAGCCAGGCTGATAAACATTGATCATCTCCTTGATGTTAGCAAGAATGTGGTGAAATCCACGATATGATGGCGGCCATTATGCCTGATGTTTCTTTCCTGTGCTGTTTTTTCGTTTTGTGTGGGATGAAGTTTTTTGGAATTTCTAATCCCTCTTCAATTTCCATGTTATCTGAGCCAAGGGATTCTGATATATCCTCTACAGAACTATTAATCTGATTATGTACTTTTCTAGAAGTTTTTTTTGCAAGATATTTTTCTGCTTAGTTTAAACTTTTTTCTCTTTTTGTGCACTGAGTGAGTTGGTTCTTTCTTGTTTTTAACTGTATTGTCTTGGGTTTTGGATGAAGGAATACTAGATGCACTGATTGGTGTCTGGGTGGCAATATATTTAGTGGATTTTACAAGACTGGCAAAAGATGTATTTGCATACTTTCTACTATTCTCCTAGCCTCAGCATATGAAATTTTTTTAGTCACTTTGCCTGAACTTCCCTTCCCAATTTCCATTTTGAACAAGAATGAGAATATGCTGGATGATCTTCCCTTGCAATTTATACTCAACACTGCAATTATTGCTATTGTGACCAACCACTCAGCACCGGGTGCAAGTCTGTTTGCCAAGACAGGACATCTTAGAATGGCTAAAATGCTGGCATTGGAAGCATCACATTGGGTTTGGAATATAAGGTCTTATGGAGCAATTTAGATATCCAGCCTTGATAATCTTTACCAGATTGGATGAGTTGAAAGTCAGGATCACGTGTTTCCTACTGATCAACTGACCTTCCTTGCGCATCTTGATCTGCCTAGCAGCACAAACCTTTTGGTCAG